TCTATAATTGTTTTTAGATCAATAGAGTTTACATATTCAGACTTTTATTTCGGTATACCTAGTGGTCTCGATTTACTTTTTTGATACCTACGATGTTCCGACTATTTGCATTTGGGAATACGATGCAATACATCGACTAATATATAGTTTGTATTGGCCTTGTTGTTGGTTTGTTTGTTTGTTTGTTTGATTTTGTTTAACGTCCTATTAACAGCTAAGGTCATGTCTGGAAAAAATCTGTTTCAAATTTGATCTATAAATTAGTGCTGAAACTGTTTTTTACGACTAAGTTATAACTGTAGGAACATAATGCATGTAAATACAAGAGGCCCAGAGGGCCTGTATTGTCAACTGGCTAATACACTTTTGTAATATTTCTTATTTCGAAAAAATCCCAATGATTCAAACTTTAAATTCACACTTTAGACGCAGGGGGCCACACCCTCCGTTTATAAAACACACTAGTCACCTTTGCATAAGACATATAAAAATGAAATCTCTCAAATGGTACAGAGGAAAGATTTATTTGGTTTAGTATTGTTTAACGTCCTATTTATCACCATCCGATACATACTGCCGAAGACACCCATCAGGACACCCGAACCGGTCACATTATACTGACAACGGGCGAACCAGTCGTTCCACTCCTAAATTGCTGAGCGTTAAGCAGAAGTAGAAACTACCATTGTTATGAAAATATATTTTGGAATATTGACCTTGCTAGTATCTTTGTCATAGTTGGAACACATATGAACTATGTTATTAAAGTTTGGCATGTGTCGGGGAGAGTTTACTTTGTGTTTTTATGTACAGTAGTTTATGCGAAAGGCAGGGATACGTTACTGGTAATTAGTTTGATTTTGCTATGGGTAACTGTAGGACAGTACGGCCGCGGCGTATAGTCCTCTGTCGAAACCCGGGGTCACATGAGATACGTGCGCTATTAGATTTACAATTATGTTTTATAAAATTCCCGGGTCCAGTAAAATGGTTCGTTAACAATATAAAGCGGAAGAAAGATTTATTGATTCACATGCAAGATTTAAAGGTTGATGATGAAAAACTGAGCAGGGAGAACCTAAATCGGATCGCATAACAAAAATACTTCTTTAATCTTAATTGTTTCAACAGTTCATGTTTTCACATGATGTTGACTGAAAATGTATGATCATGCAACAATCTATATAATTAATTTGCGATTTCAAATAAAATCGGAATACGCATTCAAAAAGGGAAAAAGTCATTTGTTAATGTTATAAAATGGTGCGTGCGGCCGATGACTACGGCTTGTTTCTGAAAAAAAGGAATGAATTCAATCAATTTTCCATAGAAAAACTTCTATTCATGCCAATTCCACAGATTAGGGACAACAATATTTATTACCGGGATGCGACCAGTAATAAATGTGTTACTAAACATAATTGCATGTCCTGTGTCCTTTTTTAAAATACAAAAATATACTTGTCCCATCCCTGCAGTTTAGTAAAAAAAAGTTAATGTCCCATTACAAGAGAATAGAAATGCCATAACGAAAAGTTATCTCAACATAAAAAGAATGCATTTACAAGTATGCTTACATCTCTGAAAAGTATTGAAAACATATGATTATCAAGTATCTCAAGACGTTCCATATCTGACACATATTCTACACGTACACGTGTACGTTGTGTGTGATGACTAAATAACTTAACAAGCGATTATACATGAATAAATAATGCAAAAAAGTGGTTAAAGCCAAATTAAAAAAAAATCCCAAACATTTCTCTTCTTTTTTACTACTTGTCAATGTATACAATGTACTCTTTTTGAAAACATTTGAGAAAGGGTATTCGTCTCATGGTAATTCCTTTTTACGGAAATGTTTGTCCCATGGTTGAAGGTTTAGCCCCGAACCCATGTGTACCGGTCTCATTCCGGTAATAGATATTTCCTGGTGTCTATAAATGATGCGAAGATGCCAACAAATATTTCGTCACTTGAATATTGGCATGTGGGCGATTAACTTCTAATAAATAAATTGTATTACGTGGGCAATTGACTTATATTTTACAACAATTATGAAACAGATTTTTCAGCATATATTAATCACCCTTGTTGGCCCGGATTTTAGCACGCGGAGGGTCTAAATGGAAGGAAACCGAAATACCCGCAGAAAACCGACGTGGTCGGGCTGGTGGCTCCATAGATTTTTCACGTCCGATCGGGGAATCGAAGGATTTTAAAGAATTTGCTATATTTTACCTATTTGGCCCCGCCCCTCGGGTCCCTTAGTGGCCAGACCCAACGTTTATACATAGTTATTTCCCCTTCACCCAAGGATGCTTTAGACAAAATATGGAACATATACTTTCATTCCTACAGAAGGATTTTAAAGAATGTACTATATTCCCCATATTGGGCCCTACCCTCAGCCCCAGGGAAGCAGACTCACCGTGTATACAACATTGGCTCCCCTTTACCCAAGAATCCTTCAGACCAAATATGGAACAAATCATTTCATTCCTACAAAATAAGAAGGATTTTTAAGAATTTGCTCTGTTTCTCCTATTTGGATCCGCCCCTCAGGCCGCTGGGTAGCCAGAACCACGGTTTATACAAAACTGAAAGCACTGATGAGTGTGAAAAATACAAAAAGAAATAAGAACCCGATCATTATAAATATAAATAGTTGCACTCTTCATACATATGATACTGTTGCTATTTGTACCTGTGTTGTGAGTGTGTGTAATGTTGTGTACTAATGTTATTTTGTTTGGCGTTGTCATCGGTCAGTGACGTATACTTTAAAGCCATACACCGATGCTTGTTTGTATAGTACCATTCCCCATGACATCATCTTCCCTTTATGCCAATAACGTTTTCATGTGGAACTAGAGACAAGAGAAAATGTGAACATCCTCACATAAATATATACCTTCTTAAGGAAACAAATGTTATAAATTAGTGATTTCTATGATCGATAAAGAAAACCTTTATTCTTATTAACACCAAAGGTGCATATCATGTATGAAAAAAGTGCATATAATTAGTACATGTTATTTTTCTTATTCACAATAGTTACCTACAAGCACGAGCTTGCCTTTCGAACTAAAAAATAATATACATTATTATCGCGCACTCAATCGTATATAATAACTTCTGTATCAATATACAATGTCAATGTAGAACAAAACAAGAATCAACTATATTTTCACAATAAAATAAAATATGTTCACAAAATACTGAATAATATTTAATAAATAGGCCTATAAGACAGGGTATAGCATGTATACATTTCAAATATCCGATGCATGTACTTGCATGGACTTATTATTAAACAACTTATCGAAGTATTTAAAGACAATAGCAATGGAAATAGAGATACAGGACCCATAACACAGGAGTATGAAATTCTTTCTGTTTGTTTTAGTATTAGGCTTATTAAGTATTACGTTTCGCGTTAAAAAACGTAACCAGTTTACTTACTGTCAATATCAATAAGTCTTTCATTCGGTGGGCAGGTGGAAATACTTCTGACCATAACTTATTATTATCTGTGTGCGAACGCGTTGATCTGTTAGCGTACGCCAGGTTTTTGTGATGGAAATATTGCATGTACCAATAATTGATCGACCTTTATCTTTATAAATCATGAGACTTTTCTGATTGTATCACACTCATTCCATTGTCCAAGCGAAATGACAATATTTAATACATTCTTATGTGCCTCCTCGTAACCTACAGTTTTACTGACGTGTCTTCTCATGGATTGTGATGATATTCGTTTCGTTTTAGAAACTGTATATGCTCCCGCTTTTTATGTTAACCCGTTCTTGTCACCACAAACGAATCACCAATTGTAAGCGTCATCCGTAGCACTTTCGTACCGTGGTGGAACAACGATCGTGCACGGGTCGATTGCTACACTAGTTGATCCTTGTCATTGTATGATGAGCTGAATGCTGTGTTGGGTGCCTTCTGAATGGTATTTCAGTTAGATAACACTATACAATTTGGCACGTTAAACAAACAAAACAAAACCTCAATTGGACAAACGTTAAGCATGAAAGTCAAAATTTCGGTATTAATAATTATTAATTAATTAAAGATCGTGAGAAATATAAAGGTCCCAAATATTGCAAATGGTGAAGCAGATTTATTTTCGTAAAAGGGCACAAAAGCAAATCCCCATATAAGTCGCCTCGTACGATACAAGCAGTGGAGAACACCAGATGTATTCTTTCTCGATCCTGAACCAGATAACAAGTATAAAGCTATCCAATGTTTTAATGTGTATCCGATCTTCAAAGAAAATTCATGGCATGAAATTCATGGAAGGACTGCTCAGCGTCTTTTCCCATTCCCTTGACCAGTTTGGTGTGAAGCCCCGCCTCAACCAAACTGACTATCGGTTGACAAAAATGACACAAGGTATATCAAGAGGTAAACACAAGAGCAGGACACTGGCGACATGATTAACCTTCATCTTTCAAGCAGTTTTAATATATTATAAACTGCTGATAAGCGCCTTTAAGATGCTTCCAAAAGGACACTGGCAATGACTCAATTTAGGAATTGATGACGCGTTGATGACGCGTTCACAGTAAACGTTGACGTGTTGTTACAAACACTGGAAGCTTTTTTGTCGACAGTTCTGTTATAAAGGTTCATATCGCTTCAGTGACAGTCTGTACTATTGATCAAAGCTTCATTGGCGTGGATACATTAACTACACATTATACGTTCTGCCACGAGAGTTAAGCAACGGTTAACAAACAGTATCGCCTGACAACAACAAAAAAACAGTGTGTGTTACTAGAGGCACATAAAATTCAACAGTATGACTGCCCCTAAGGACCAAGCCAGGCCTCCAGGAAAATCGGCAGCACCTGTTGTCAAGAGTTAGTTTAAGGAGCAGCGCTCTGTTCGATAACCTTTTATTTTTAACGTTTCGCTCAGCTTAATGATTTAGTATACATTTTATCGTCGATGGAGTTCGTTGGATATATGTGGCTAACACAACACCCAAAAATGACATAAGTTGAAATAGAACCCTTGAATGTAGTTGTCGCATTGGATGTCTCCAATAACAACACTAACGCACTGGATTTTATTCTGTAGCAGCAGTGTAGCTAACATATACACGCCTTTTGTAGGCGTCGTTATTACGTTCGGTCCACTGTGAGTATACTAGTAGTTTAGCTGGCAAAGTAACAGCAGCGTTCGGTATAAATATATGTTTATGCATACACATGGTAAAATTAACAGGGTTATACTTCGTCCAGGGGTATTTGTGTCTCGTTAATTGGATCACCATCGGTGCCCATGCGATATCATATGACTACTGCAGATAAAAAGATTCAGACGGTGAAGAACATTACGTGGGGATATTTCATTATAGTGTTGCGACTGGTGTTGGACAGCGGCGAGCATTGCTTTTAGTGTACTGTGGTTCAGGAATTCAGGAGGTGCTCCTAGAATGCTTCGTTGTCAATTGATTTTAATTTAGCCGTGATTAAGTCGCCAGGACAAAATCCCATTACGCCAAATTGGCGGGTGTGTAATGAGCAGGTATGGAACTGGTTCGTCATTTCGGTGTCAATAGAAACACACGGGCTAAACACGTATCATGTTTTACGTCTTATGTACTAATCACGTGCGTCTTTCTGTCGTCACTACGTTCGACATTGGTTTCATCCGATTGTGTTCAAAGTGATAAGGTCACAGCCAACAGGATATATCAGGTATCGGAGATAACACTTAACAAATTACGTCAAGTGTGTGACGTAATTCATGTGGACGTGAAGGTATATGTCCTCTCTGAAAATGCAGAGAAAAACAGCAATGTAACAAGTAAGTATATGTAATTAGTTTCATATCATATTAGTAAATCCTACTTTGTTAGCATGACTATATTTATGGGTAATATATACGAAATATGACGTAAGGGTGTTATTTAAATTAATACAATTTACATTTCAAAAATCAGATAAAAATACTTTGATATTTGTCAAATATTTATTATTGTGCACACCCCTGCGGGTTCGGGATCGAGTAATGAACACTTGCTGTTACCCACTGCACGTAATGTAAGAGGCGACTAATGAGGGGAATTACAGAATTTTGGGAATTTACTAAAGCAACCAAAATAGATCTGCTGCACCAATTCATTATTTGAGATATTTATATCTCCTACTTTAAACTAACTTTTACACCTCACTTTAGACTTGACTTTTTAACGTTCGCGAAGGCGAGGAAGGCAATGGGTTCTGTCACCGGGTCGGGACATACCAAATTCATTAAAAGTGGTAGTTGTTATTCCCTGCAAACATTTAGGGGAATAACAACAACTGGTTCATCCGTTGTCAATATTATGTGACCGGGAGGAATACTATAATGGATTGGTGCCTTTGGTATGTTTGTTTTCAGTTAGATAGCACTACAAAGTCGGCATCAGATCCGTGCTTTCACAAGGAGGTAATTACACCAACATACCGTCGCCAGCACACATGCACCCATACACAACACGCACGGAGGTATGTCATTAAATAACCTTAGCTGTTAATAGGACGTTGAACAAAATAAAACAAATACCAAACATATTGTCCATAATCAGCTTGAGTAATTATTCCAATTAGCAATCAACTCTCTAACAGACCCCAATTTTCGTAAAAAAAAATACGAACAATAACGTGACCCCGAAAGGGAATTTCGCCTCACTTTCAGTATTTCTGACGTCACCAATCCACAGCAGAGTCCCAGAATGTGACGAAAACACTCAAAAATATCTTTAAATCCTCGTTTCTTTTGGTGGTTTTGAAATTTGCGGGGGTATATCGTGATTGCACTGTCGCAACTTTCCCTAGGGTTATCACCTAATTTAAAATATGAAAATAGCATCTAGTCAGTGACCATTGTGAGCCCTTTTTGTACGAAGTAATGTAGGCTGTTATCGTCACAGTTTGGTTTGGTTTAGTATTGTTTAACGGCCGATCAACAGCTATGGTCATTTAAGGACGGCCTCCCCTGTGTGCAAGATGCATGTGTGTAGGCTATGCGTGTGTTTTGGGGAGGCTGCAATATGTCCGAGAAGACCATGTGTATCTTCAGATCAACGTGGAATGGAAAGAAAATATACATTTATATTCTACATCGAATACAGGAAAATATCGCTCATGTATACAATCTTTTATTAGCCTACCATCATCTGATAGTGGACTATTCATATAACCCTGCGTACGTTGTCCGTCGTGCGTCCTTAAACAATTCGTGTTGTCGCTATTTCTCAAGAAGTACCGGGGGGAAATTTCTCGAATTTCACAGGTAGGTTCCCCTTGGTTACTAGTTGTGCAGGGCATCTTTTGAGACTGATCGGATAAACAACATGGCCGATAGGCAGCTATCTTGGATTTTGTTAGTGAAGGTTTGTTATCGCTATTTCTCATGAAGAAAGAGAGGGATCTTTCTCATATTTCATAGGTAGGTTTCCCTTGGTCTCTAGTTGTGGAGGGCAACTTCTGAGACTGATCGGATACACAACATGGCCGCCATCTTGGATTTTGATAGTGAAGGTTTGTTATCACTATTTCTCTGGAGGTACAGGAGGAATCTTTCTGAAATTTGATAAGCAGGTTTTCCTTGGTCATTCGTTGTGCAGGTTAACTTTTGAGACGGATCAGATAAACAAAATGGACGAAAGGCAGCCATCACGGATTTTGATTTTGAATGTTTTTATCGCTATTGTTCAGGAAGTACTAGAGGAATCTTTCTGAAATTTGATGTGCAGGTTTTCCTTGGTCATTCGTTGTGCAGGTTAACTTTTGAGACAGATCAGATAAACAAAATGGCCGAATGGCAGCCTTCTTGGATTTTGAAAGTGAATGTTTTTTATCGCTGTTTCTCAATAAGTAGTGGAGAGATCATTCTCAAATTTTATAGGTAGGTTCCCCCCTTGGTCCTTAGTTAGCATATTTACTATTGAGATAAACAAAATGGCAGACAGGCTTCGATTTTTGACATTTAAGGTTTGTTTGTACTATTTCTCGGGAATAACTTGAGGGATCTTTCTCAAATTTGTAGGTTCCCCACAAGTCATTTAAGGACGTGCCTCTATGTGTTTTGTGTTTGCGTGTGTGCATGCAGGAGTAACATTGAAGAAGTAAACAAAACCTACTGTATCCCACTGCTTGAACGTTAATGCGGATTAATGTGGCCACTGCATAATCGGGTGCATAATTCCTTGTCTTCTTTGAAGAGGACACCGAAGAGAAAAAATATGACACCCCTGTACCGAGAAAAAATGATCGAAATAGGCGACTTATGTGGGAAACCCAGTGCAGAATTGGGGATTTGTTTTTGTGTCCTCTATTTCGGGACGCAAAAGCGACCAAAATAAATCTGCTACATCTATTGCGATATTTGGTTCTTTGTATTCCTCTTTACTTTTTATATCCTAGAGCCTTACTTAGCAATACCTCACTATTGGATTTAATGTATTGTCGGGCGTTCGCCCAGTCGAGGAAGCCAATGGGTTCTGTCCCCAGGACCGGACATACAAAGCCCTTAAAACTCGTAAATCGCATTCCTTGCTTAATGTTCAGCATTAAGGGTAATGTCAGCAACTGGTTCACCCGTTGTCAGCGTAATGTGACCGGACGGCATACTGTGTTTGGTGCCTTCGGTATATTTTTTTTTAGTGACACCTGAATGCATTCCTTTTACACTTTTAAGCATGTAAACGACTTCGGCTGTAAATAGAATGTTTAAGTACAGTTTAACCATATAATAACAAAACCAAACAAGATCAAAAAGATTTGTTAGCTACGTTACAAATGTGCAAATTCAAGGATTCGATCCTACTTATCTAGACTTGTCTTCTACAAACGGCCTCCGTCCATTTGTTGTGGAACACTGTGATTGGTGCCTTCCGCAGGATATTTCAGTGAGGTAGCACCCTTAAATCGGCATCAGATCCGCGCATTTTTCATTTAAATTGTTTTAAACCGTTAATAACAAATGCTGTAGGTAAGGTCAAAGCGGCAAAACAATCGGATTCATTGCGTAGACAAATTACACTCTGTTAAACCTAAAATCGTTGAATGGTATCCAAGTTATAGAGAAAACCGCGGAGACCAGATTATTTCCCGTCTCTGGAGTGATCTTTCATACATCACACATTTTTACTTATTGAAAAGCAACGTACCATTTACAGTATAACACTTGTTATAACATTGCAGCCCATTTCTATTTCTAATTCATGTAACGGTCAATATCCCTATAATTCTAACCTACCGAAAAACTATTGATCTGTTCAAGATGATATAACTAACCATAGCCACTTTTACAATTCAAGTTCACGTTTTTCGTCTACCCTTTCATTTCTTTGATGTAATTTCCTTAAACATTTTTTATTTACTTTTTATTGGCCCTTATGACCTTCTCATGTTGAAGGGCCGTAAATAATCCAATAACCAACTAACAAGGAGACAAACATATCAACATACCGCCTCCAGCACACATGGACGCATGTATGCATACAATTCACACGTCCTTTTATTGTAACCATAAAGTAAAATGACCAAAAATGAAAATTGCAGTATGTGTACAATATCTCAAAATAATTTGACTAACGTGTATAATTATGCATACAACTCTTCTAGTGGGTTTAGCTATCGGCGATGTTTCATTTGCATTATTTTCATTAGCTCTATTTCAGTTCGATCTGTTCTTTACAGTCACTACGTTAACCACTTACGTTATTTAGATAGCATTCAACACACCGTTTGCCTCCTCAGGAGAAACTCATTTCATCGTTAAAATTGAAAAAAAAATATGTATGCAGTCTTTAAATATTTTCTACACAAGTAAGTGACGACGGAATATGTCATATAAGTAGCTAAACAGCTCACATATCAAACGCACGACCGAAGCTTCCCGGTATATTCCTATGGGGCTATTTTAACAGCGTTGGACTTGTGACGTCACAGATGTGGGCTACCCATATCGAGGCGATCGCCGTTGAGCCAAAAGTGTTTTCAGATAAATCACAATATCTCGGCGTTCGCACCTTCTTAGTCTTTTATTGAATATTATGAAGTATTTTCATAGCTTGATATAGCAAAACGTTCAGGGTACACTTTAAAAATATGAACATATTTTTTTTTGAAGGCTAAGGATGGAGATATTACGATATGTTTCCTATCTATTCCAGCGATTAGAATAAGAGGTTTCGTTTTCGAGTAAAAAAATAATATCATGATCGATCGTTGTAAAGACATTCAGACCACGTAGTTAAGACCCATCATCATCAACCGAAACAGCTACCATGGACAATTCGGCTTCCTGAGAGGAAGGCTTTCGGTTCTGTCCCCTGGCCGAGACATACCAGAGTCTGTAAAAATTGCAGTTTCTACGCCTGCTGAACGCAAACACGAACATTTCGCAGCCTCCCAAAATACACACGCATACACTACAGGCATGCATCTTGCACACAGGGGAGGCCGTCCTTAAATGACCTTACCTGTTAATAGGACGTTAAACAATACTAAACCAAACCAAAACCAAAAGCAATGAGTAACCTTTCTATTCGGTTTTTATGCGAATGACTGGTGTGCTGTGTTCCCAATAATTGTAGAACGTATGCTGTAAATATTGTTTTAATTTTTCAACGGATCTTCACAGACGAGAGGAGAGTTTGAAGACTGGACTGCCTTCAAACATTGGAGTTGTTGCCTTTCCCCTAAATACTGAACGTTAAGCAGGGACATAACAACTACCAATTTTAAGGACTTTGGTATGTCCCGGCTTTTGGACAAAACCTATTTTATTTTATTTTTATTATGGTAGCTTTTGTG